TTTTTTTTTTTTTTTTTTGAGACAGAGCCTCAAGCTGTCCCCCTGGGTAGAGTGCCATGGCATCACAGCTCACAGCAAGCTCCAACTCCTGGGCTCAACTCCGCCTCCCAAGTAGCTGGGACCACAGGAGCCCACCACAACACCCGGCTATTTTTTGGTTGCAGCCGTCATTGTTGTTTGGTGGGCCCAGGCTGGATTCGAACCCGCCACCTTGGGAGTATATGGCTGGCACCTTAGTCACTTGAGCCACAGCCACTGAGCCAGGGCTTTGTATTTCACAATTCCCTCTGACTAGCATATTTTCATATAGCAGACTCCTTCTAGTCATTCAACTCAGAGGTGACATGTCCCCTCCTCAGGGACACACTCCCTGACCACCTAATCTGATCAAACTCCACATTAAAAGTCTTAAGAAAATTCTCATCCACATTATAACACTTTAATAGTGGATTAATTTATGCCACAATTGGACAATCATTATTCTTTCACTGATAAGAAATTATTCCAAGAGATTATCCATTGGCTTTTCAAAGATCTATTTTCAATCACTAACCTTTTAAGGATGATTTTTTAAAAGGTGGAGTTTGATTTACTAAATGTACTCCAGTTTGGACCTCTAAAATAAGGGTACCAAATAAAAAGCAAAATATTATCTATCTCAAGGCAAGGCCTCTGCACTACTTTCAAAACCAGAACAGAAAACAATATATACACTCATGTTCTAGGGATGAAGTGCAGCTCCTGAATACCTAAGCAAGGACAAACACAACAGAAAAGAGAATACCACCCCAGGTTTACACCTGACCCCCTGAGAGTCAACAACCCACAGTGAAGAAGTTAAGGAGCACTGCAATTGGCTGGCAGGATCTGTACAAGGTCAGTCTCCACCCCCCCACCCCACCCCCGCCATGTTGTCCTGCCTTACCAATGTTAAAATCTGGTCACCCTATTAAAGTAGAGTTAGTGAAATAGTATATTTTGTAAATGTCCTTTTATTAAAATTTAGATGAAATGTGGTTGGGAAGAAGATAATCAAACTTTTACAGGAACGTGGACCCTTAATGAATTCTAAACAATAAAAAATAAATAAATTGAGTTTAAGAGAATGCAGCATTTTAATCATAACTCTGCCAAGAATCTAATTTAGAGGCCTGTTGTCATTGTTGTCTTCTGTGAAGATTTTGTCACCAAGAAAGATAGGATTACATATTTTTCTAACAGACTGAGTTGGTATAGTATATTCTTGCTTATCAAAATACTCATACAGCTTTGGGATTTTGAACTGGTCGATAGCCATGATGTGTGAAAAAGCTTGATACACACTGTAAAATCTGACATAAAATTGGAGGTTGTGTATATACCAGAGGACCTAGAAGGACACATCAGCCTATAAACTTCTTGTGATCATGGATGACTTTGTTCTTTCCTTCATGTGTTTTTCAGTTTCCTAAAATGCACATATTAACTGTTAGAAAATAAAGTTTATTTTAAAAACTTTTAAAGGAAAGGCATTTCAGCTCATCTAAAAATAAAGAGTTATCTCAACTAATTGTTTACAGTGAGTTACAGGTTGAATTCTTTGTTCTACTTGTTCCCACCTTCTCACTACTGCACTTGTCTTAAAAAGAAAGAGGAGGAGGAAGCAACAACATAGAGAATTAGGCATACAACCATTGGAAGGGCTGATAAAACAAAGGATGAGAAAAACTATTTATAGGAAATTCTGAAGAATGAGTCCAGCTGCCTGTGACTCCAAAGTGGATAATTTCAGGGAAAAAACCCAGAAGTCAAAGTCGCTGCTCATGATTTGAGCTGCCTGCACCCGGCCCTGCACAGAAGAATATTGGTTTCTCCTTCTCTTCTACTTTTCTTATATTTCACAAATACCTGTCATTTATGGAACTAAAACTAAATGATGAAAGAAGGGAATTGTGGGAAATGTAGTTAGGATTTTTTTCTTCAGTGCCCCAAGGAAGTATATCAAAGGGGGCAAGGAAGACGCCCTGTTAACAATGTGCAAACCACAGCACCAATGACCCATGTCCTTATCTTTACCAAGTGAAATGTAACCTTAGAGAAACTAGCACAACTATGATCAGAAGAGCTCAACAATAATTACAGCAGATAGACCAGGTGCAGTAGCTCACATCTGTAATCCTAATACTCTGGTAGGCTGAAGCAGATGGATTACTTAAAATCAGGAGTTCAAGACCAGCCTAAGCAAGGGTGAGACCCTGTCTCTACTAAAAATAGAAAAGTTCGTGGTGCACTGTGGCCCATCCAAGTAGTCCTAGCTACTAGTGTGCCTGAGGCAAGAGGACTGCTCAAGCCCAAGAGTTTGAGGTTGCTATGATCTATAATGACACCGTCATGGCACTCTACCCAGGGTGACCCAGTAAGACACTGTCTCAAATAATAGTAATAATTACAGTAGATAGTAACTGAATGTAGATTATGATCATTTCATGTTTTATACATTGCCATTTAGAATGTGTTACTTTTCAGAATAATGGTACTAAATATGAAAAGAGCCATAACATGAAAAGTGGAAATTAAGCTAATGAAAAATACATTGTGTTCCATTATTACACGAACGTTTTAAGCCCTTAAGACCTACCATAAGGTCTAAAGATGTGCCATGTGTATTTAGTAAATTGCTCAATAAATGCTACTGAGTGTGCAATAAATGACTCAAGAAACTTGGTTTGTTACTGAGGTGAAGAGTGAGACTCTACAAGCATGAGTCAGTGACTGCTGTCTCATAATTAATATACTTTTTGAAAATTCTGGCTTCTATGCTGTCTAGTTCTATCCCTAACTTTTCTCATCCACGGTCTCCCATTTGTTATAACAACAGTCTTCTACTGTCTGAAGCTAGGACTCAACCATTCTACCTACTCAAATATTTATGATGATTCCAAATATCTGAATATACTGAATAAGTATCATGAATAAGTATCACCAAATGTAATTTAAAATTTTGAGAAATCCCTGAATTGAAGAGTCTGGTATGTAGAAAGTCATTAAAGTTTTCTTTTTGTTAATAATGTTTCTTGGTTGTCTATACTGCATTAGTCTGTCACTGTTGTTGCACAGGAAACTACATTTCCTAAAGTCCCCTTTTCTTTATGGTTCTGAGTACAAAAATCAATTTGCACAAGTTTTGGAAGGCAGAGAAGAAGAAGTACTCATCACCTTCTGAAGATTTCATTAACTAGAATTA